GGAAAATTTCAAGAAATGTCGATTTTGGACCAAATTTATGGGCAATTTTGCACATTTTTCATAGTAAACAACATGTTTTTGGAGGCAGATAGGTCTTGATCGATAGGATTTCATCCCATCTACATTGCCTAGTGTACAGATATGTGCTTTTTGAAGTTTGGCGTGACGTTATAGTGGTCCGAAAGAGGAGATGTCATGAAATTTTGGCTAGTAAAACCAATACTTTTCCATACAAACAAAGTTTGCGGAAAAGTAATTAGCCTTTCTTCTGTTTACCATTTTAACGACTTGAATTTGCACTGTTTTGACAAATGTTTTGAATAATGTCGTTCAGTTGTAATTGCATTCGTGCATTCGTGCATTCGCAATGCTACTCATTTGAATAGCACACCCATTTGCAGTGCCATTCGTAACCATTCGCATTCGCACGCATTCGTAGCATTTGCAAATGTTTGTATCTAAATTCACGTACTAGCATTCGCTCATTCGCAAAACTGGCACCATTCGCAGTTAGTGAATTCCCCCTAGAAACTGATAGTATAATGGAAATTTTGATTCACTTGGCTTATTTTATAAAAACCTCGATTATTCGTCTTTTTCGATTATCCGTCAATGTGCTGGTCCGGTGCCTGACGCATAATCGAGGTTCTACTGTATAAACTACTCTGTACACATGAAGTCTTTCTCTCTTTCTCTTATTATCTCTCTATCTCACTCTCACTGTATCAGTTGCTGCAAACGCTATTACGCGTAAACATTGATACGTTGATCCATTTGAATATTGGTTCCGTCCTTAACGCAGTTCAACACTTGAACAGTTCCGAATGCTCAGGTGATAAGAGTTTCAAAAGTATCAAATGTGATAAGAATGTTTTGCATGAATATGAACATGAATGTGAAATTAATGATAGACACTTTTTTTGTATTCCAGTAGAGATTCCAATTTGTTTTCGATCATTGAACATTTCTGTCATTTAATTACTTTTTTTTGCTTCGTGTAGAGTGAACCGAATTGTGCTTGGCTTTTTCAATCCTTAGTTTGACATTATTCTCCCAGTTTAGACGAATCCGAATTGTACGATTAGATGATTCAACATGAAGGCAATATTTATAATTGCCTTGTTCGTCATAAATTTCACTGGTTTACTAGCAGGTAATTCAGTAGATTTCAAATTAATCTTCACTTTAAACTTTTATTCAATTTTTTGACGGCATATTTTTTTCCTATGGAATAATTTCATGATATTTCGACGCATGCCACAAACACATATGTGCGAATATATCAATATTGAAACAGGCATCCATTCAACAGTCAATATTCTTGAGCAGAATGAAGCGAACGCCAATTTTCAAGAGAAAATACTGAGAAACACATCTCTTTATGTAGCATCCGATCAAGGTTTGGTAGAATTTCTAGCATTGAAGTATTTGATCGGGTCAAATGTGACGAAAAAACAACAATAATTGAATTGCATTTACAGCATTGTTACCCGTTCAAGATCCGTACAATTCCAATAGGCATTCTTCAATCGTGGAATTGGTACTCGTTGTCGACAATGGTGTGTATAGAAAAATGGGCGAAAACCTTGACAAAGTTTACAAATACTGCAAGAATGTGACGAACATAATCAATTCGGTGAGTTGAACTTTCATGAGAAAATGTTTTTTTTTTTCATTTCCAAAGTGATTTTATTGCGCGAAATTTGAAAAAACAGGAAATTCATTCTTAGTATGTCCACTTTTCTCGCTTTCTACTTTAGTTGTACGTTCCGCTAAACATTTTCGTTGCATTGGTGGATGTTGTTGTGTGGACGGAGCAAAATGAAATCAAATTGTCCAGTAACGGCGACGAAACGTTGAAGAATTTTCTGGCATATCGACGCAAAGTACTGTCGAAGGATCATCCAAATGATAACGCACAGCTATTGACTGAAATGGAATTCGAGGGTGGTGTTGTTGGTAAGAAGTGATACCATATATATACAAAATGGAAAATTCCAGGGAATTCGGCCTATAAGAATAATGATTACGTCCAATTTTTACTAGGCAAATCGCTGAAGGGACCAATTTGTACATTCGAATTTTCTGGTGGTGTTGTGACTTTCTATAGCGAAGTAAAGGCTGAAAATGTCAGGATGTTAGCAACAACAATCGCACACCAAATCGGTCATAACTTTGGAATGGAACATGACACAGCCGATTGCGAATGTGGCGATGATCTATGCATTATGTCAACTTCAGTACCATCGACACCACCAACTCGATGGAGTGACTGTAGCCTACATCAGTTGAATGAGGCACTTCATCGCGGAATGAATCACTGTTTGAAAAATAGCCCAACACGTTTGTTCGATTCGCCAACTTGTGGGAATGGTTTTGTTGAAACGGGCGAAGAGTGTGACTGCGGTCTGCCCAATGTTTGCAAAAACCCCTGCTGTGACCCGAAAACCTGTAAACTTCAATCGAATGCTACTTGTGCAACGGGAAAATGTTGCGATTTGGCTACGTGTCAAGTAAAGCAGCCGAGTTTCGAATGCCGAACGGCCGTTGGAGAATGTGATTTGCCCGAATATTGTGATGGAACCAGCGAATTTTGTCCAATAAACTATTTCAAACGCAACGCTAATGAGTGTGACGGTGGTAAAGCGTATTGTTACAATGGCTCGTGCAAATCACGCGATGATCAATGCAAAGTGCTGTGGGGACCTTCAGGCAAATCATCTGAGCAGTGTTATGTGAAAAATACGGCCGGCTCACGGCATGGAAATTGCGGTTTCAATAGAACCACAAACATTTACACTGGTTGTGCCGAAGAAGATATTTTTTGTGGAATGCTACAGTGCCGTCACTTAAGCGAACGATTGGAATATGGCTTGGAATCAGTGGCTGTTTTATCGCATAGTTTTATATCATCTGGTGGCAATATTCTTCCGTGTAGAACGGCAACCATTGATTTGGGCTTGGAAACCGTCAATCCTGGACTTGTACCAGATGGATCGAAATGTAACGACGGAAAAATGTGCGTGAATCAAAAATGCGTGACAATCGACCCAATCAATGTACAAGACAAAGTGGAAATGGGCGAAAATGACTGCAATGGACATGGAGTTTTTGAAAACACTGGACAGTGTCATTGTGATAAAGAGTTCGCACCACCGTTCTGTGATTCACCAGGCTTTGGAGGAAGTATTTATTCGGGACCCGCTCTGAATCCATACGGAAACGTGAATGAATCCACACATTTAAATCAGTCTGATAAGCAAAGTATAGATCCCATCACTGCAAACTCGTTCGACCAGCAATCAACAGACGCTGATGCACTCAAACATTGATACACAAGTATATTTCATGTTGATTCCGCTTTCAGCATAGTTCAGCTGAACAAATTAACTGGCAGCCGAACTCGCAAATGAGATAAGAATTTGAATGTATCAAATGTGATAAGAATACTATAATAGGCCATAAGCGTACACAGGAAATAAATGATGAACTTTTAAAATTTCAGTAGAAGTCTCGATTTGTTTTCAATCCTTGAATACTCCGGTCATTTCATTGTTTTTACCGCGTAATCTAGAGTGAAACAAATTCTTATTTCCACATATATAAAAGTTGGTACAAAACAAAAATTGAAAATGAAAATATCAGCTCAAAAATGGAATATTTATTGAACGTTTTTCACTTGAAAGTGATCAGGATTCCGATTCACTAACACTGTTCAAACCAGATTGAAATTTGGATTATTTATTATGATTTAATCTGAACAATTTATTTACATTCTGCCAAAAGACAGAAGAACTAATTGGATTTTTAATGTGAACCGCTTGTGGCCTAGGTTTCAGGTAGAACATTCTTCCGCTGGATTTCTTCAACAAATATTCAATTTGGATGTGATGTCTCTCCGTTGCACTGATTGATTGAAGTGCGCAGTTTTCGTTTGATAAAAGGTATCATCGCCGATGGTTACCTACGAGATACCACTAATTCAGATCGCGTTTCACATTCAGCACGTTTAGGGTTGCTAAGGTTGTCAAAGCAAAGAAAGTGGTCCATCGACAATGAAAGTCAACAATTGCAATGAATTTAATATCGCATCGACCATAATCAGAGGACGTCAATCAATTCCCCAAATGCAACAGCAACAAACGACGAAGAGACACTTATTGGTGCTGATACTGATGCAAGCGATGGATTTACTCAACAAAGCAATGAAGCTGCAGCCGCAAAAAGTGTGGGAAAGAGCAAAACAGTGGATGTTGAAGGTAAAGGTAGAACACTGAGTGGGAAACATGGCAAAAGAAACATGAATGCAGCATTGGTATGGAGCGAAGTAGTACCAAAGGAAGCCCAAAGAAATTCCAACACTCGTTTAGCCGACAGATGGGCAGCAATTAGTGCGAAGACGACTGGAACAATCACGAAAAGCAATGCTCAACGTGTTTCGAAACAGTTGAAGACAAACAGATTGAAATGACATCTTTGTGAATACGTTGGTTTTAATATGGGCCATCTTAATCGACAAATGCGCAAGCACACAGATGAAAATCCACATCAATGCGATCGGTGTAGAAGAGGATTCTCGAAGGCCAATTCAACGTTGTGTTCGACCTCTAGGCTATAAGAAAGTGAATGAAACATTCCTTCTATTCCACGTGTCTCAACTATCGATAATAACGTTCATTTAGGCACAGATCGGTATGATGCAGCTTTATTTTCTGCACCTAGTTCGGGGGCCGATTCATTTTGAATGCTCAGACACATAATATTTGTATGTAAATTTGAGATGCTTATAATAGCTCTGACACGTCTTGGACGTTCAATGGCGATAATAATATAAAATTCATGTTCTTCAAGATATTGCCATAAGCATTAAGTCGATATATTCATTGGGAATTCATCCAAGTTGAGAAACTGTCCATGTCTCTATGGAAAGTGTTGATAATTGCGGCTATGGTTTTGTATCACATTCACCTTATTGAGTGATGTAAAGTGAATATGATTCCGTATATCCTTGCATTGACTAACATTGTAGCTATTACGAAGCAAAGCAACCATGCTACGTGAGCCTGAATGTTACCAGGTATTCGTCATGATGTTCACATCTTCGCAGCATGTACAAAATGCATTCCATTTCAAAGTTAGACATATCCAGATGGATCGCCGTTCACATATTCATATTTACCGTGTGTAAACAACGATCCATCTGTGCTTTTTTTTTTACTTTGAAACGACTTTGAAATGGAATGTGTTTTGCGCATGCCGCGAAGATGTGAACATTTCCTTAAAGTCATTGGAATATTATCACGTGAACAGCATTAGGACATTATCGTCAAATTATGCACACGCGCACAGGTGGAGTTGCGATTCCGTTAACTGTTTGACTTTTTTTCTCATAAGAAATGGGTGCGCATAATATAATGATGATAATATGCATTTATAATCATCAATGCACGTGGATTAAATTATACCGGTAATGTGCTGCTTACTGATGTGACCACACTTGAAAAGTAAATAAGAAGATGCGTTCGATTCGTGAGTCCATCAAACAGTTCGTCAATTCTTATCAATTGATACCAACGACTGCTAGTGTCGAACGTAAATGCACGTAAATGCTGCATAATATTAAACGCACCCATTAATTTTTCATTGTTTTCCTATTAAGAATGGATGCGTTTAGTATTATGTGACTTGACACTAGCAGTCCGTTTTCATGGCCTCGGCTTCGATATAGTCTTCCAGTTTGGGCAAATTGAGTAACACGTCTAGCGCTGCTTATGGAGTGGTGCACATTGCACCAGTCATACACATGCATGCGACGCGTTGTAGATGATTGAGTTTCTTGTGGATAGGAGCGCTATCGTCTTTGTTGCGAACTTTGCGTTTGAGCTCTTTGAATAGGAAGTGTCCCATGCCAAAGTGTAATGCATTGTTTCGACCGCAAAGAAGAGTTAGAAGCCCCTAGGATGGTAGCCTAAACGCTCACGTACCGGAGGTCTCGGTGTAACCACTGTATTGTTGCCGTTCTTTGCGAACGAAGTTGATGGCTTCTGTTCGAAATACTTGTATGATTTTACAAATTTTTTTCCTTTTTTTGCAAAATTACTCTCATCGACCATGTTTGTGCTGTTTCTTTCAGCCCATGCAGCGCTTGTACGCGCTTTGCGATCTTTACGCCTGCGTCCTTTTGATTTTTTCGTTTCTGTTTTTTCCTCAGACCCCAACGACACAACTTTTGTGATGGTATTGTGTCTTTGGTTACCTTCTTTGAGCTCAGCTCAACCGAATTATATTCGATGCTATTGTTGACCATACCAATAGGTGGAATAGACATTTTTCACGCTCAATGATGATTCTAATCAAAGCTCACAAAATATTTGATGATGAATCAAACGATTGATGGAATTACAATTCCACCTGTGCATATGTACATAATTTTGCGTTCCTTATCAAATGGATCGAATCGAAAATACGTTGTTTACGTTCATTCCTTTATCACCTTCACTATGGTTTGAAAAACAACGCAATTCGATCGCAATGAATTGAAAATTTAAGCAGATATTTTTCACTCTTGAAATGTTGAGTGGTGTTTATTTGATGTAGCTATTTGAATATGAAAATGTTCAGATCTTCGCGGCATGCTCAAAACGCGATCCGTTTCAAAGTCGTCTCAAAGCTAAAAAATAACAACAGATGGATCGTCGCTTACATAATGTAAGTATGAAAGCGTTCGATCAAACGATATGACTCATACCATTGCGTTACATTCAGGCTCACGTACCATGGTTGCGTTGATTTATATTGAAGAAACATCCAATAGTTACAATATCAGCTCATACAAGGATATATGTGTCGTTGAGGATAAAAATGGGATTTTAGCCGAAACCGCGTGTTTTCTCGCGAATAATTTTTGGTTTTTCTGGTACGAGTAGTTGAGGCAAGTATCTCAAGCAAAGATGAAGATCTTGAAAGGTTCTAAAACATTGCAGAAGACATCGGTCTTCTATCTCTTACCAGGAACGTAAAAATGATTCACATGTAAACGAGCGGTTTCGGCGAATCCCATTTTTATTCTCAACGAGTCGTTGACAACGACACATATATATATGGAATCATATTTCTTTGGACAGCTTTTCAACTATTCTGAGATTCCAGTGTACACACACGGAAATAAGTATTATAATCTGGGATGTATAAAACAGAAACAAAAAATCGGTAAGAAATTCTTTCGTTGGATTTCTCCAACACACATTTTATTTGAATGTGATGTCTCATCTTCACTGCGTTGATCCATTGGAGTGTGCATTGTGCAATTTTCATTTGATTTAATGATGAACGGCTCCATTGTCCATTAGAAGTTTGGTGATATCCGTGTGGCCTGAAAAATAATACAGTTCGAAAGATCAAACCAATTTCTTACTCACACAAGAGTCAAAATTGAAATTTTGTCCGTGAAAGGTCAAAGAATGCGGTCCAATCCATGAAAAAGACAAAAAAAAATATCTGTTTTGTCTTTGCGGCGGTGAAGGTAACACTGAGATGAATTGACTTTGAAGTTTGTGGATGATCAATTTTACTGACTGCATTATTTTAACAACACGAATATTTTTTGTCTTTCTATGGGTTTGACCACTTTCTTTGACCTCTTGCGGACCAAATTTTAGTTCTCTGCGAATATTTTGAAAATTAACATCCTGCATTACCATTGTAAATAGCATACCATTATAAATAGCATAATAAATAGGTGTTCGACCATAAACATCTTCCAAATTAACATTGGCATTATATTTAATGAGCAATTCAACGACATCCTTGTGACCTGAAAAATAATTCAAATCGATGAAAAAGATCAAACCAATCTTTTTTGTTCAGCGAAAATGAATACTCAACATTACCATATACAACAGCTAAATGAAGAGCTGACCTTGCACATTTTCTAATATTAACATTGGCTTTATTCTTGAGAAGCACTTCAATGACATCCCTGTAACCTGAGAAATAATACAGATCAATGAAAAGGATCCAACCAATATCATATTTAGTGAAAATAAATATTGAACATTACCTTTCATTGCAGCAAAATGAAGAGGTGTCATTTTCAGTTCATTTTCAATATTAACGTCGGCTCCATTGCCGATTAGTTTTTGAGCTTCCTTCGCATCACCTAAAAAATAATTCAGATCCATGAAATAGATCGAAGGAAACATGTTTTTCAAACATAAATGCCCAAATTTACCAGTCTCTGCAGCATAATGTAAAGCTGCCATTTGTTTTGCGTCTTTTTTGTTCACTGAAAATTGAAAAAAAAAATAGATCAGTGAAGTGAAGTGAAAGAAAATGTCTTATGTCCTATGTACAGAGCGTGTTATGGGCTGATGTCATCAGCACTAACTAACACCAGTTGCTGACGAGTATGCGTTGCGTTGTTTTAACGCATTTTAACGTATGCATGCATAGCATCATAGCTCGTTTGGTCTTGTACTTCCTTTCTAACCACCCTCCGATTTTTTTATCAATTGGTATTTGGTATACGGTGCTACTAGTATAATATTTAGAACAAAATATTATGCATTAATTTTCTGTCTCTCTTTGTTATCTCCTAAATGTACCGCATGTAAGGTACCAGAAAATATACACTTTTCGAAGATTCGGTCAAGATAAATTGCCATTATTTTGGGAAAATCGAACAAAAGAACCCTCATTCACCCAATATTTTGCTCATTAATCAATTTTTTTCATTTTTCTGCGTTTTTTCTGTGTTTTATCCGGATACCAAAAAATATATATCGCATATCATATAAACCACGTTGAACAATGATCAGAGATCAGAGTAGACGTAGACACCGAACCAATCCACCCATGTATTATTCTTCATGTTATATACTCCATACATCAAAAAGTCTTTTATATAGGGAATTTGTGAGTGAAACTTCACGGAGAAATGAATCACCAATCTTACCGTCTGGTTGTTCTGTAGGTTTGGTCGGCTGCGGAACTTTCGCTTTCGCTTTCGCTTTCACGATTTGAAAAGCCGAATTCATCACAACAGGTTTGGCATCTGGCTTTCTTGGAGGTAGAGATACAGTCTTTGAACCGTTTTTTTTTCCGAGATCTTCAAATTTTTTGACTCGGTCTTCTACTAACCCCCCACTCACTTCCACGATTAAGAACTATGTAAATAAAACAAAGTGATTCAATTGGAATGGGAACAACGGATGAGATTGTAATGGTTTTCAAATGGCTTTCATTGGGTTGAGAAAACTGTTTTTTCTTAATTGAAAAATTAATCGTCAAATCAAAACGTCAAAAAAAACTATTTCGATGTTGTACCAAATTCGGTGCAAAATTTACAACTGAAAAAATTCCAAATAAATGGACGAAAATTCTTAAGATGACAAAAATGTGACTAAAATTATCGACGCACCTCGGATAACACCAAGCCAATGAGCAGCAGCGTGAAAGATCTTCGACTCAGCATTTTTCCAGCTTCGAACTATCAAAATTTTATTGTAAACGTATCAATTGATAAGAATTGATGAACCGTTTGATGGACATAAGAATCGAACGCATCTTCTTATATACTCAGTGCAAACAATATATTAACGGTATAATTTAATCCACGTGCAATGAAGATTATAAATGCAAAGAATATTATCGCGTACATTGGTGGAATTGTCCATAATTTTGCCTTTCACAACGAATAGATCGCATCGAAAATACCAGATGTTCATGTTCATGTTCATTCCTTCATCACGTTCATGATGGTTTAAAAATACCGCATTTGGATCACATTGAATTGCAAATGTAAGCAAATATTTTCCCCTCTTAAAGTGTTGAGTGGAGTTCACTCGACGTGGCTATTTGAATATGGAAATACAGCTATTCAAATTTCACGATTTGTCCTTATGCTATTCACGTGATAATATTCTAATGACTTTATTGGAATATGGAAATGTTCACTTCTTCGCAGCATGCACAAAACACACTCCGTTTCAAAGTTATTTCAAAGTTTAAAAAAACAACCACAGATGAATCGTCGCTTACATATTAAATATGAATATGAAAGATCAAACGATACGACGTATTGCGTTAAATTCAGGCTTACATACCATTGTTGCTTTAATCAATGGCTACAGTTAATGTGCACAGACGTCCTCGTTTCAGGAGGACAGTCCTCGTTTTTGATATCTGTCCTCGCGTCCTCTGAGA